GTTAATTTGGTATTTCGATGTTGTTTTGAGCGTTCCAAAGGTTGGAACAAGTTTGAATGATATTTTAGGATTAGTTGGCATATTTGGTTGAGGTCCCGGGGGCCTCGGGTGTGTTTCGGATGCTCAACGGGTCATTGTTGGACTTAGAGAATTGCAGAAAATTCAACATGTCTCCAATTCTAGTTTCCTTCTTCGTGTTCACGAGTGGGGTCTCGCGTTTGCGAAGAGGATCTGGGGCTGGTGGAAGCTTAACGCTTTGTGTTCGCGATGATGGTCCCGCTTTCGCGAAGCTATGAGGTCGTATGCCTATGCATTCGCGAAGAGGGTCCCGCATTCGCGTAGGAGGGAGAAGGTTGCTATCGCGTTTGCGACTGGATCATCGTGTTCGCGATGAAGTAATTCTGGGCCAAGCGAAGTTGTGCTTCGCGATCACGATGGTCCTTCTGCGTTCGCGAACAAGGATTTACTTGGGCAGATTATAAAATTTCAAAATCGAGGGTTTAGTCATTTTTATCAAAACTAGAGTTTGGGAGCTCGGATTTGAGCGAGATTTTGAGGAATTTTCAGAGATATCAATTGGATAATGATTCCTAACTCTTTTTTGCTTATAACCCATTAATCTAAACGTGAATTCATCATCTAATTTCAGATTTGGGGTGAGAAATTGAGGAAAATTTGGAAAAGTTCTTAGGCCTAACTTTCGAGTTTTGATTAAAAAGTTGACATCGGATTTGGATAATTTTGGTATAGTTAGACTCGTGAGTGGATGAGGGTTCACAATCCGTAACTTTTACCCGATTCCGAGATGTGGGCCCGGGGGACTTTTTGGACGATTTTCTTAATTTCGCGTGTTAGCTTAGAATTAATTAGTGAAATTAGTTACTTGAAGTTATATTTATATTATGCAATTGATTTGAATAGATTTGGGCCATTTGGAGTCGAATACTCGTGGCAAGAGCGTGGTTTCGAGTTGATTTTTGAGTCAGTTCGAGGTAAAGGGCTTGTCTAACTTTGTGTGGGGGAACTCCCCTCAGGATTTGGTACTGTTGATATATGAAATGCCTTGTGCGTGAGGTGACGAGCGTGTACATGTGCTAATTGTTGAAAATCTTATTTTCATTAAGTAACTATAACTGTGTTTTTCTTCCTTGTTGTACATTACTTGCAATTTAAACCTACTGTTAGATTAGGGAAGCATGTCTAAGTGACTTAATTGCTTTATTTGTTCAAACTGCTTTATTTGAATTTTGTGCAGCATGCTAGGTTAGAAATACCTGTTTTACCTTGGTAGGAAATTGGATTGAACTGAATAATCTTCGTGTTGCTGTTGTGTGTTTACTTTGGGACTACGGGACGGTATCCCGGGAGATCCCCCTATTTGTTTACTTTGGGACTACGGATTAGTATTCCAGTAGATCCCCCTGCACATTTATATTTGGGACTACGGGACAACACTTGGTAGATCCCCTGTACTGAATATTTACTTTGGGACTACGGATTGGTATTCCGGGAGTTTCCCCTGCATCTTTATGATTCAGACTACGGGATGGTATCCCAGGAGATCCTCTAGACATTTACATTTGGGACTACGGGATGGTATCCCGGGAGATACCTTGTTGCTATTTCTATGTACTGAGTTAGATTCCTTCTGTGTTTTTAATTGATATAGATTGTTAGCACTTATATTATATTGTTGTATTCTATACTGTTTACCTTGTTTATTTCATCTATAATCAGTAGGGCCTTGACTTCCCTCGTCACTACCCCACCGAGATTAGGTTTGGCACTTAATGAGTACCATTGTGGTGTACTCATGCCTTTTCTGCGCATGTTTTTCATGTGCAGATGGTTCTTCGGCTCAGCCCTACCATCCTTGAGGCAAGGCGATCCTTCAGAGACTTCGAGGTATATCTGTCGCGTCCGCAGACCGAGGAGTCCCTTTCCATTCTCTCTTGTAGTTACAGCCCTTCTGTATTTACTTTGTTTTAGACATTGTGGAGTTAGATCACTATGTAGTATCCTTAGCTAGTGATTTCATGAGATTCCGGGTTCAGGAAAGTTGTTCAGTTTTTGAGATCTTGTATTAGTATATGTCGAGCGGCATCTTAAACGCTTCTATATTTGTTTATCTTCAGTTTTTATTAGTTTTTCTGCATTTTGTTTTCTTTTTCCGCAATTGTTATGCTTACCTAGTCGTAGAGACTAGGTACCGTCACGACAGTTCATGAAGGGCGAACTTGGGTCGTGATATAGGCCGATATGTATGACCTTAATATAAACGGCTATTATATAAGCGGCCTATATTACTATGAATCAAAATGATATAATTAATATAGGTTATATGACTACAACCATATTAGTCAATGGACTTATATGGTTGCTATAGGCCGATAGGTATGACCTTAAATAATGAAATTATATAGACGGCTATTATATAAACTGTCAATCTTACTATGAATCACAACGATATAATTAGCATAGGTTATATGACTACAACCATATTAGTCAGTGAACTTATATGGTTGCATAGGCCGATATGTATGACCTTAATATAAATGGATATTATATAAATGGTTGATATTACTATGAATCACAATGATATAATTAGCATAGGTTATATGACTACAACCATATTAGTCAATGGACTTATATGGTTGCTATAGGCCTTTACGTATGACCTTAATGAATTAAATTATATAAATGGTCAATTACTATGAATCACAACGATATAATTAGCATAGGTTATATGACTACAACCATATTAGTGAATGGACTTATATGGTTGCTATAGGCCGATATGTATGACCTTAATGAATGAAATTATATAGACGGCTATTATACAAGCGTTCGATATTATTATAAATCACAACGATATAATTATTATAAGTTATATGACTACAACCATATTAGTCAATGGACTTATACGATTGAAATTGAATAGTTTCTAAGATGTATTTGTGTTGATTTATCCTTTTATTATTTTTTATTTTCATGTAAATTGCTTTCGTTCTGGTTGTTGTGCTTTATTTTGTTGAAGTATTATGTTATGAAATTTCAATCTTCATATTGGTCTTCTTTACTATAATATTTGTTTTAATTATCATTCGAAAAAAAGCGAAATTGAATCATATTTGTCTTCTTTGCTATTTTTATTTCTTCCTAATGAAATCAATTTCAAAGTTTATTTTTTTTAAATCAATTCTTCTCTTGGATTCTTTTGGAATGGAAAAGACAAGATAACACCATTTATTTCATCTAACACTATTTATTTTAACTAACACCATTTATGTCAACTAACACCATTTATTTCCACCAACATCATTAATTTCGAGGTTAGAAGGGAAAATATCTGTCAAAATTGAACCAAAAAAGCAACTCAAATTTGAAATATTTTTTGACTGGTTTGGCCCCCTCATATATAGTCACATACTCAAGCCCTAAGCTATGAAAAACACACTCAACTACAAACCCTAAACTATGGATGTCTCTCCCCCTACCAAACGAGTTGTATCTTACTCTTCTACTAGCAATGATAATGAAGAAGAGAATCCTCCAACATTTGAAGTGGTTATGACTGATTCATAAATCAACTACGACGATTTGGTAAATTATTATGTCCTTTAAACTTTATTTCTTTGAATATTACAATACCTTCTTGAGTTAATCCTAACTGATTTTTTTTTACATAAAATACTTTTGTTTCTTATAACTTAACTCCAAAAAATATATATATGTGTCAGTATTGTATATGTAGATTAACTTTCATATTTTTCGAAACTTAATAGTAATGTTTTTTAAGTATATTCCAAAAATATCTACAAGCATCTTCCTCCAACAGTAGAAACTACGTTTCTTCACTATCATGGCCAAGAGTGGTATGTAAATATGAGCGTTGGTGATCGAAGAAGGTTCAAGGCAGGCTGGAAACTTTTTTTGCTTTGGACAATTATGCCAAGCGAGGTTTCATCGTTAAATTTACGTTGGTTGATGTCGCACCACAATATGTTGACTTCAATGTTGAATTGAATGGAGAAGGAACTTCTGATAATAATCCGGTTGAAATTGATTAGGATTTATTTTGTGTTTTTCTATCCTTTTACTATCTTTTATTTTTATGTATGTTGATTTAGTTATGGTTGTTGTGCTTTTTTATGTTTATGTATTAATGTTATGTAATTTCAATCTTCATATTGGTCTTCTTTACTATAATAAATTTTTAAAAAATATCATTCAAAAAAACCGAAATGGAATATTTAGTAAATGCTTCATAGGAAAGTAAAATAGGTTGGTATGTTATTAATGTATAGTAAAAGTAAATGCTATATAGGGAAGTTAAATGGATAGGTTTTGTATTCAAAGAGGAACGGTTACACTGATTTTACATTGAACTCTTGGAGTATTTGGTTGAAGGTAGGGGTTGAAGATAGGGTTAGAAATTGGTTGCAGTTGAATATTAAAATTTTCGGGGGAAAAAAACATTGAATGTAAGGGTTAAAGGTAGGGATACCAAGATAGGTGTTGAGGATAGGGTTTTAAGTTGAAAGTTGAAGGTAGGGTTTTAGCAAATGAATGTGAGTATTTTAGTTCTTAGTTTGAACTGATGTTAATATTCTCAAGTCTTTCACTTCTGTACTTGTTGCAACTTGCAACTAATCACATTTTGTTAGTCTAGTCCTCTAAATTAAAAGCAAGTAACAATAAAATAAAATATTTAACAATGACAATTATAATACCACACGTTTAAACTTATTACAAAACAAAGTCAATAAATTCAAAAAAATCTATCTCAAATCAAATCAAAAAAGTTTCAAACTTAAATCATCTCAAACTAAACTGTCAAGTCTTCTATTTCCCAGTTTGCTTCATTGTTTAGATCAGGTAAGCTACTCTCTGGTGGTACTGTTGCGTCATCTTGGTGTAATTAGCGTAAATAAGACTAATAAGCAATGTATTTTTCGGAAAAAATACAATAATAATTAATCAAATTTGTTATACTTTACCTCAATTCCTTCCGCTAGCCGAGGATTTCCACCACCTCTACCACCTCCATCACGGCCTCTACCACCACCTCTACCACCACTTCTACCACCACCTCTACCACTACCTTTATCCCTCCTATTACCTCTAACTTCACTTCCAGCACCTATTTGTGAACTTCTAAAGTATAAATCAATTCGCCCTCTATATCTAATCAACCTTGGACGTCCACGAGAAGCTACGTATCTAGGATCTGTTATATTTCTTCCTTCACCCTCACCCTCACCCTCACCCTCAGCATCATGTATATCTTCCAATTCCTAATTTGGAACTATCATATCATCATCCTAATTCAAAAGGTCATGCTCCAATCTATTCAAATCATACTTAATATATCGCCTCATCACTTCAGTGTCCAATGCAATATCACAAACCAGTTCAAAATGCTTTAATAGTTCCATGTACATCATGTATTCAGAAGTCATACATGGGTAACCTCCTAGAAAGAAATGTTTTAAGTGCAGACGAACAACATTTTTTCTCTACCTTTTCAATATATACCTCAGTAACGTTTTTAATCCTCTTATGAGACGATACCTTAAGTGTATGGCAGCATAGAATACCTCTTGTTTCAAACCACTTGCAGCTGCAACTTAGATATTCGCCAATAGGTATATATTCAACCGTGAATACAAATAGATCTCTAGTGTTAAAACTCCGAAACAAATAATTTGCGATAATGTAATTCTCCACTCTAGCTGTTGCTTGATGGTCTTCGGGGTTGCTGATTTCATAATGGTACAGTTTTCATAATTCAAACACTTCACGAGTATAACATGTTTGAAGTTTTTCCTCCCATGCAAATTCAGATAAACATTTTGGTTCAAAGCACCTTGACCTATATTCAGATTCCAATTCTTTCTCGAACTTAGCTCTTATGGATAACTCATATTGCTGAACAAATAGCTTCAAAGTGCTTTGGCGGGTGATGAATCCATCAAAGAAAGCATACATTCCTTCACTTCTTTGTATGGACAACATCCCAGCCCAAAAGTGGTCATTTAGGTATATAGGAACCTATTTTTCCTTCTCCAAATAAAGCTTATAAAACCAATCCCTTCCATCTAAGTTATATTTTGCAATATAATAGGTCCTTCTTCTCTCAAACTCAGCAACGTTAATGCTATCAAGGACTAAAGCCTTAAATTCTGTCGTTGCAATCTTACCATTAAGAACTCCACTCAACTTCATAGGCAACTTTACGAATATATGCCATATACAATATCTATGTACGTATTTGGTATCAATGCATTGATGGCAGCCTTAATACTATCACATTGGTCAGTCATGATAGCTAATATACGAACATTGTTTAGAGCCCCAAGCCATGTAGAGAGCACCATTTTGTAATTTGTTATATCCTCACTAGACATAAGAGCACATCCCAAAAGTATGGACTACCTATGCTGATTGACACCAACAAATGAAGCAAATGGCATATTGTATCGATTCACAAGATATGTGGTATCAAGGCATATTACATCATGGAACTCCTCATATGCAACCTTAGAGTGTAAATGAACACATACGACATTACGAAGTCGACCAAAACTATCCTCATCTACGGAGTTGTAAAATTCCCTATCTTTTTCATGTATGTCACTAAAGAACATAAGTAATGATTGTGCATCCCCTTATTGCAACTGAAGCTTTCTACTCTTCAAAATATAATTTTTACAGTCTTTTGGAGTACAAACCAGATTTTCGGGTCCACCAGCAAGTACCTCAGCGACTCTTATATCTTTTGAAGGTCTTAAGCCAGTAATATCTTTGGGAGTTCTCTTAAAAGACTTACTAAGTGATATGTGTCTAGCCATCAATCGCGATAGTGTTGGTTCCAATTGATGATTATGTCTTTTAACTACCTTTGAAACACGCCATGGACCATTCTCCTCCAAAATTTCATTTATTCTAGCACGACAGTTCCTCCTCTTGGTAACATGCTTATTCCTTGGTTTCCTAGACCTATCACAACCATATTGCACATACCTAACAATATCACCACCTTTTTTTGATGTTCTTTTGATAATGCAAAACCCCGATAATTTTGCATGTTCTTTGTAAAAATCAAACATAACATCCTTATTACTGAACCGCGTCCCAGTAATTGAACCAATTACTGGATCTTCATCATTAAACTCATTAGACATTTCCTTGTCCGCTCCACCTTCTCCCCCTTCCTCTAAATAATGTTCGTCATTATCATCATCTTCTTCTTCATCAGCAGCATCAACAGCATCAACATCGTCAACATGATTTTCTCTATCATTGAAGTTGTCGTCTGAATCAATGACGATCGACTCATCTTCATTCATCAAACTGTCATCCGAATTCAACCCCAATGATATGTGCAATGCATTCCTTAGTTTCTCCGACCTAGTTTCTAGGTTGTTATTCAGGTTTAATGGCTCCAAACTAGTTTCTAGGTTAGCATTCATGTTTAGGTTAAGGGAAGGATGGTGAATTATGTGTTTAATGAAAGCTCTCTAAACATAAGTGTATGGTATGACAAGGCATACCGTATAAATGAAAAAATAATATTATGTATACATACTAGACTTTTGATCTTCCCATTCGTATAAATTGTATTTAAAAAAATGCGTAATAAGTATACATATACGAAGGCCTTTTATCTTCCAATGCATGAGAGAATGATGATTTATAAGATCAATATTTTGGGGTAATCAATATTTATTAACTAATTTTGGAGGAAAATATTTTGGAGGGAAAATTAGCCATTAAGCCAAATGTGAAATGAAGGGCTTTACTGGTATTTCACTAGTGTGGTCATTGTTGGGCCATGTTGAGTTTGGCCGAATAGTAGCTCTCTTAATAAAAATAGTAACTTCAACTCTCATACTGTTGGGCCCTGCTGGTATGGGCCACACCTACCTAATTTATTTGGGTAAATGAAATAAAAAGCCTAAGAAAAGGAAAGAAAGTCTACAACTGAAATTTGAGATGACAGTATTCTTAAAAGGAATTTTTACATTCTTATGCCACATAGGAAACCTTATTACCCTCAATATTTAAAGTTTGACTTAATTACACTTAGTATACCAAATTACCAATTCTATACCATAATTAATTAAGGGTATAATTAATTGTACATTTTTTACTCCTTAATTAAAGGAATCTGCATGTTTCTCTCTCCTAACCCCTCAGTCCCACCCACGTTTTACTCATACCCACGTTCTTTTTACCATTTCCCATATTCTGAAACCAAATTCTCCCTCTAAATTCACAGAAAATTGAAGAAATCCTTCAACAAAGTTGGTTCCCCATTTTACTCTAGTTGAAGTTCATCAATGAAGAACAACAAAGTTCATCAAAATTGAAGTCAAATCTTCAAAGTTCATACACACATTTACCTTCAGCTTCAAATTTTCTCAATGAAGAAGAACAAACCTTCAAAGAGACAAGAGAGCAGTAATTCCACCATTGACAGCCATTAAAAAGCTTTGAAGCTTTGAATTCAAATTTGGATTTTCAAAAATTATTGTTTGGTTTGATTGGGTGTTGTTGTAAAAAATTGGGAATATGTTTAGGAGTTTATATCTCAATTTTGAGGGGTTTTGGTGAAGATTTAGACTTGGTTTTGGCTGAATTTCAGATTGAAACTCGAAGAAGAAGAATTGCAGCAATTGTAGAAAAATTATAGATAAATTATAGAAAAATTGTAGATAAATTGTAGGCTGTTTTTTGCAGAAGATTTGTAGAAGTTTTAGTCGTTTTTGATTTGTAAAAACAGAAAACAAAGTATCTACAATCAGAATACAAATAATCTATAATTTTTCTATAAAATATCTACAAACTGGGTACATTGAATTTTAATATCCCAATTCTCATTCAATTGTAGCTTAATTGGTATTTTCGACATAATTGCTTTTTTTGCAGAAGATTTTGTAGGAGTTTTAGTCGTTTTGGATTTGTGAAAACAGAAAATAATGCATCTACAATCAGAATACAAATAATCTACAATTTATCTACAAAATATCTACAAACTGGGTACATTGAATTTTAATATCCCAATTCCCATTCAATTGTAGCATAATTGACATTTTCGACGTAATTGCGTTTTTTGCAGAAGATTTGTAGAAGTTTTAGTCATTTTTTATTTGTGAAAACGGTAAACAAAGCATCTACAATCAGAATACAAATAATCTACAATTTATCTACAAAATATCTACAAACTGGGTACATTGAATTTTTATATCCTAATTCCCATCCAATTGTATAATAATTGTGATTTTTGACATAATTACATTTTTTCAGAAGATTTGTAGGAGTTTTAGCCATTTTTTATTTGTGAAAACAGAAAATAAAGCATCTACAATTAGAATACAAATAATCTACAATTTATCTACAATTTCTGCAATATGTCTTCTTCTTCTTCTTCTTCTTCTTCTTCTTCTTCTTCTTCTTCTTCTTCTTCTTCTTCTTCTTCTTCGTCTTCTTCTTCTTCTTCGAGTTTCAATCTGAAATTCAGTCAAAACCAAGTCTAATCTTCACCAAAACCCCTCAAAATTGAGATATAAACTCCAAACCATATTCCCGATTATTTTCAACAACACCCAATCCAAACAAATAATGATTTTTGAAAACCCAAATTTGAATTCAAAGCTTTCAAGCCTTTTAATGGCTATTAATGGTGGAAATATCTGGAAGAATATTTACTTCCATAATTGTAGCGCGCCTAAATAGGAATATATTGAAGAATATGATTTGATCTGATTTACGCCAAATCTTTTTAGAATATTCTGTTCCTCAATTTTAGCTCGACAAATTAGAAATATTCAGCTACTATTAATTAGTATTTAATGATTGGTATAATAACTGTAGAAAAAATGTAAATAGAACGGATAAATTAGAAACTATGCACATTTTTGATAATAAGGTTTCATATATTGTATAGGAAAGAAAAAATCTCTTTCTTAAAATTACTTGAAATGAGTGATTTTCACATTGAAATTATAAAAAACACTCATTACCATGTTAAAAATTTATTAAGTACTCACAACAAAATAGATAGAGTGAAAACTCAAAAAAGGAGTTGTAATGTGAATTCTCAATGATCAATAAATGAAACTATGATTGTTTTTACACGTCAAGTTCTTATCTTTGAAAATCATGGTAATGAGTTGTAATGAAACGTTATGACTTGTTAGAGCTTCTTCCTTTTACCTCTAAATAAATTCTTCCTATTTTCTCATCTTCCTTTGTCCACTTTTAAGAAAGGAATAATGCCTTGTGGTAGAAGAGAAGGGGAGATATACATTTGGATTAAATCCCACGACATGACTTCTCCTTTTTCTTAACTAATACTAATATATTTTGGATGCATACTTGCGCGCTACAACTTTAATCATAAGTATTACGCATTTGAATTCACAATGTCTATATCGTGATTATTTAGTTGATATTTTCTCTTTCAAAATTAACTGAAAAAAGAAGATAAACAATGTATTGGCATTCAAATTAGACTTTGATAAAGTAAATTAATTGTCCAATCCCAAAAGTTAACTTATGACATGAGAATTAATTAAGAGTCCAAGACTATATAAATAGTCCAAGTATGTTCTACCAAAGAGGGACTCAACAAACACTTCAGCTTATAGTGCAAATAATTTTGACATTTTCAATTTCAAGTGATCTATAAGTCACAAGTTGGAATAGTGAAAACAACCACTAAGGCTTACGTTAGAGTAGACTTCTATATTACACTCCTTAAAGTGCGGTCCTTTTTCAGAAACTACATGAATACAAAATATTTTGTGCATCCAGCCCTCTAGATCAATCTAATTTGAACTAAAATTCGGATGAAAAGGAACTCTACAACTATGTACGTGGCGTCCATGCAGGTCGCGAGCACCGTTTCTACCCCAAGACGTAACGCAGCGGATTACAACCACTTTTTTTGTTGTTTTATTATTACCTTTTATGTCCAACGTTAGTACAACAGAATAAATACACAAGGATTACCCAAAATAAATAAATTACTAAATATAAGAGATTTTTCCCTCTTATTCCTATCGCTGTAACTCTTTTCAAATGCCACCCCACCCCTGATACTCCGCACTCCTAGTAGTCCTAGTCCTACACTCCACATTCACAGGGTTCTCATACGTACACATAGACACACACTTCTTCTTTTTTTCTCTTTATCTGTGCTGTAATGCAACAGCTGCTGCTTAACAGCTATGGTGGATACAAAAGATTTTCTCAATCTTGAACCTTCTCTCTCTAACCCATTTGGGAAATTTTCTGACATTGATGATTTTTGTGCTCAAAATGTTGTCCACATTGACAAGAAGCTACTCATCGATCTACACCAGCTTTCTATTGGTCCTTTGCTCAGTGAAGGTCCCTATTCACTCGTTTATGAAGGATTGTGAGTTTCCTTTGAATTGTTTTCTATTTCTTCATAGCCCCATTTTCCTTTTTCTTGGTTTACGTTTCTTGGAACTAATTGCATTTCTGTTAAAGATTGCATTTTGGAGTTTTCTTGATTTCTGGGATGTCGGTCTGTCATTTTGTCCGGTGGAGTGGAAACCCCTTCTTCCGTTTTAGAGACTAAAAATTTGCGTCATTGTTTGTTGGAGTATTTGTTATTACAAAGAACAAAAATTCATATCGACCCGTGTAGTTCTGGGTCATTGCGTGGCACTGGGCGTGGCTTTGGTGCAATTTATCTAAGAATTCACTTACTATCAGAATAAGGAGAGATATTTCTATCTTTGGGATAAGAGAATTTTACTTTTGCTTTGCGGTGTTCAAACTGAAGGGAGTCTTGGCGTAACTAGTAAAGTTGTTACTATGTAACCAAGAGGTCACGGGTTCGAGCCGTGAAAATAGCCTCTTGGAGAAATGTGGAGAAATGCAGGGTAAGGCTGCGTATAATAGACCCTTGTAGTCCGGCCCATCTCCGGACCCCATGCATAGCCGGTCTGCCCTTTTTTAATGGTGTTCAAATTACCAGCATTTTACTTTTACATCAAAATTGGAATGTATGCAATCAGAAAGAATTGCCTAGTACTTTTGGGAGTGATTGAGTCACTAGTTCCTCATATATAATATTGACTCTAGTTATATAGTAATATGTGAAAGATAAAATTGTTGAAAACGCCAACAGTAGCTGAAGCATCCCTTCTTTCAAAGAGAGGAGCATCTGTCAATCACATTTCTTTTGATAGGCAAAGGTGAATTCAAAGTTAAGAAGCCGGAATTCTAAAGAAAGAGAAAGGGAAAGCACTTTATCTAGATTAAGCTTACTCACTTCCAAAGTTCCAACTTCCAACTGTGCATCGATTAGGTTGTCGGTGGTCAAAAGCAGAAAAGAGGTTTTAGCTAACCTCACATTTCTTGGATCTTTCTGTAGTCCCGTGTTATAGTATTTTTCAGTTAGAAAAGTTATAACGAGCTTATGGTTCTCGAGGCTCCGCTAAAACATTCAATGTGACTCAATTGAAGACTAGGAAGGAGCAAAAAGTCTACTTAATTAGTGTACAAATCTGTGTTCAGCGCGTGTTTACAATTTGCTGACCTGCTATCACTTCTAATGACTACCGAAGATGGTCTGACCAATTCATTTGGCATTGAGTTCAGTTCTAAATCTTATCTTTTTTCCTTAATTGTCCTAGTCTGTCATCGGGAGGCCAGAGGGAGTGAGCTTTGTTGAGATATAGTTTCTGTGTTACCTTATTGACTAAAAGGACTAACTTTTGTCTAAGTGAGGATTGAGGAAATAGGTCCAATGCTCTTATTGAGCTTAGACGTTAATTGAATTTTCAACCTAAATCTGACATAGTCTATTTAAGGACATTGTAGGGAACAAGAGCAAGGGTTTTTGAGGTATTAGAAGTAGGAGGTAAGCAATAAATTGGTGAAGCAATGCTAGTTGCTTCGTATCGCAATATTATCAATTTTGGAGAAGGTTGAAAAATCAGAAAACTAAAACAACAAAGTGCATTCTCTTTGCAATGAAGTAGTGAACATATTTAGTTCACATAATAAGGTGGAAATTGTATGTTAGAAAACATTTCCCGCTTCCGTTGCTAGCGGAAGATGGGTCTCTTTCTCTACCTACATGTCATTCAGGAGCAAAATAGTGAAAAAGATGATTTTTTTTTCTGGAACTTTGATCCTTTCATTAACTCATCTTTCTATCCTTGTGCGAGGTAGACACACTAACAACTATAGTTAGGAGTAAGATTATAAATGTAAAGAAATTAAATGCATTCGAGTAAACTGTCCATAGTGTGGATATCTCGCTGGTAATAAGATTTCTTAATGCCAACTTTATTCCTCACTCACATATAGTAATTTTAATACCAATGGTTAAAGAATTTATAAGATAACTTTTTTCAGATTTTCTTAAATACATTTTTGGGAATAGCAAATGGTTTCATATCCTACTTATAACATTGTCAGTTATGATGAAGTTATATAAGGGCCCATTTGGACCGAGAGATTTGGCCCAATATATTTCACATCTATTATCCCGAATCTTTTGTGTCCATTTAAAATACAAACCCCATTATGGTTTATATGAGTTGTTGTGACTTCATTTCAAATGAAACTAGAGAATGTGTAATTTTGGAGTATAGAGACTTGAGTTCCACTTCAATTCTAAATGTCTTCATTGAAGTGTCCCTAAGTGTATTTCAACCATTATCTGTAGTTTCACCTTGCATAACCATTGAAAACTTAGTTTCCTGCTCCCTTCATTGGTTCATTGATACGAACGTGAAGATAACCAGATTTATGTTGTAGTAGATGTGCTTAGAATAATATCTCATAGTCGGTCGAGTCATTATTGATAATAACTGGTTTGTCCCATCTCAGAAGAATTTAATTTTGAGAGGATCTACTGTAGTTCTATATGGTATATACCCAAAACATCTATCTAAGATCTTCTAAATTTACCATTACCCCTCATTCACGTTAGTTAACACAACTTTCTGGTTACTATCATTTGCACTCCCAAAACGTGATCCTGCGTTTCAGTTCTTTTTATTCAGAGTCCTGCTTTTCTAAAGCACCTTTTGTAATACTTGTTCCAGATATAAATCCATGCCTGTTGCAATAAAAGTAATACAGCCAGACAGATCCGCAAATGTGAGTCCCGAGCGGAAAGAAAAATTTCAGAGGGAGGTCCTTTTGCTATCTAAAGTGAAGCATGACAACATTGTGAAGGTATGTGGCGTTCAATAAAAAATAGTACTACTGGTTAAATTTCATTCACTTTGTCCACCTTGCTTTTGCTGCCATCACTTTACAACTTAATAGACCCAAAATCAGGCAATGATTGGTGTACTGGCTTTAAAGTCCAATATAGAAAGAGAATAAAAGCTATAGCTATGGGGACTATGTATTCATACTTTGGTAATAACATCAGATATTTGGTGCTACCCTGTAAATTTTTTATATAAGAGGTCCTGTTATATTTCTTAGGAGTACTATATTTAGACATTAAGAGAAAAGAAGTCCAGTCTCTCATGTCACATTATTGTTCTGAGTCTGCCTTGAAAAGCATCCTTCTGTATGATGATTGATTCTCTTTTTATTGGTTGCTAATATGTCCTGTAAATTGTTGAAACAGTTTATTGGTGCATCCATGGAACCAGCATTGATGTTAGTTACAGAGCTAATGAGCGGTGGAACCCTTCAGAAGTACTTATGGAGCATCCGACCACATTCTCCAGATCTGAAACTTTCTCTAAGTTTTGCGTTGGGAATCTCTCGAGCAATGGAGTATTTGCATGCAATTGGCATTATTCACCGCGATTTGAAGCCAAGTAATTCTCTACCTATCTCGTAGTTCGCTATTGCACTTTCAAGTTTTAGGTTTAGGTGGCTACAGAGTAGGCAGTGTTATCACACACTGATCAGGATTACTACTTGCTTGAGTTGCATGACTTTTAAGTTTTTAATGAGTTTGTATGAACATAAGAAAACAACTCCATTTCAAAGCCAGACCTGCTGGAATAGTCTATATGAATCCTTATATCCATTTTGCTCCGTTTGGGAGGAGGTTTTCATTCAACTACTTGATAATTTGTTTCCAGGACAACTTAGGGATTCTTAAAAACTAGGAATTCCACCCATCTCAACGTCATGTCAAATACGGACTTATTGCAAGTGTTCCTACAACGATTAACCTTAATTCCGACTAGCTGGTATCACCTATACAAATATTTTACTTCTATCGTTTTCTATCCTTCGCCAAGTCCGAATGGGTTCCAAGAAATTCTAGGTGTTATCAGACAACTTTCTTTGTTGATATTTGGTCTATCTCGTCCTCTTTTGAGAGCTCTAATCATCATGGTTTTCACATTACGGGTTAGTATATTTCGAGGTCTACATAGGACATGAATGAAACCGTCTCGCGCGGCCTTCTCTTTTTTCATCTATACATGCTACTTGCACCTTCTGGTGAATGTGATATATTTAATCTTGTATGACTGTACATCCTTCCTAACATCTGCATTTCTATGACACTCATTTTTTGTGGAATGGCCTAATATCCACTCCGATGCAGCATTATTGGTCTTATAACTATTCAATGGGCTTGCTTTGTATTTTGTAGGTCATATCATCTAACACTCTTGTAGCGCTTCTCCACATTAACCATGCTATTTTGATTCTATGTAATGTTTTCATCTGTTATACTGTTGTATTGAAATACTAAGCCTAAAAATATGGATTGTCTGCATAGACATCACAGTCTTATCTAATCTCATCTCAAATATGCTAGCTAAACATATGGTCGATATATTCTGTATTATTTCTACTTATCTTTAAATCTTTACGCCCTAGATTGCTTCTCCGTAGTTCAAACTTTTGGTTGACACCATCAGTAGTTTTGTCAGTTTACACAGTATTGTCTACAAATAGCATGCACCAAGCCACACCCTATCTTGTATATTTTTAGTTGACTCATTTATAATTATGTACATAAATATGGCCTAAAGGTGGATCACTGGTGTAAACCTACTATTACAGGAAACTTCTTAGTATCTCTTCTCACTATTCTCACACTTGTGAATGGCTTTTTTCATACATATCCTGTATGGTATTTATATATGTTATAGGGCTCCTTTTTTCTCCAGTATACACCAAAGGACTTCTCTTGGCACTCTCTCATATGTTTCTCTAGGTCAATTAATATCACGTGGGGATCTTGCTTCCACTCCAATAAATCTCCATAAGCTTTCTAGTGAAAATATAGCCTTTATTGTAGATCTGTCTGGCACAAATCCAATTGGTTTCCAGTCACTTTGTAATGGACCTAAATTGATGCAGTATTATTCTTTCCCAAGATTTCATTGTATGTACCATAAGTTCAATACCGTGATAGTTTGACAGCCTTTATTGTCAGATTAACGATTAGACATGCTCATCATCTAATCATGAAATAAAGAATATTCTATTGCACGTGCATAGTGAAAATATTAGAACTCCATTAGTTGGCTAATTGTCTTACTCACAGTAAAAGTCCCTGTATCTGTTTGGCTCCTTCTCCATAAAAATTTTGGCTTCCAAGCCCTCTTCCATGGCGCACAGGAATTGGCGCCCTTGTTTGATATCTTTTATCAAAATTTTCAACTTGGTTCTGATTTAGTACAACTAGGCAAATTGATGAGAAATAATAGAGAAGTGCTTATGTGGCAGCCGTAAGAAAGAGTGGATAGGAGGAGGGAAGAAAGCATAATTTCTGAAAAGGAATATCAGACTATTAAGATAGGTCAAACTGGAATTTCATTGTTTGATCCTATTACTCATTGCCATTTGCCGCATTTGCAGGTAACTTGCTCCTCACAGAAGACAAGACAAAAGTTAAACTAGCTGACTTTGGGTTAGCTAGGGAGGAGGCGGACTCTGAAATGACAACAGAAGCTGGTACATACCGCTGGATGGCTCCGGAGGTATTACATTGGACGAAAACGTTTACACCCTGCTTAATAATAGCATATGCCTTACCCTTTACAAATGCCAGATGTTCAGCATTGACCCGATCAAGATTGGAGTGAAGAAACACTACAATCATAAAGTGGATGTCTACAGTTTCTCAATGGTTCTGTGGGAGCTTCTCACCAACAGCACTCCGTTTAAGGGAAGAAGCAACATTATGGTGGCATATGCTACAGCTACGGTATGTGTTTTCTACTGATAATAGTTTACTCGTCTTGACAACTTTTCAGTGATTTGTAAATATGATATTCTCATTTCCTTTAATAAATTCCAGAAATTGCGTCCTAGCATGGATAACATTCCGAGGGAGATAGAACCCCTTCTTAGCTCTTGCTGGGCAGAGGATCCAGCAGACCGACCAGAATTTGAGCAAATATCAGATTTCATCGCAAACATTCTTCGTGATATGTGCACCTCAGAGACAACTTCTCTGAATTTGTTTGAGATGGAGAATCCGACAAGTAAAGAGTTGGCCAATTCTCCTGGCACAAATTATTTGATGGACAGGGATGCAGAAACTAGCAAGAAAAAAACAAGGAGTTCATGTTGTTGCTTCATGACTGCCTATGATGACTCTCTCTGATAGGTAGAGTGACTTTTTCTTAGGATATATGATTAGGTGTAAATAATTGATTGACTTCCCGTCTTTTTTCGCCAATTTTATGATATATAGAACAGACTTCAAAACCTCACATTGTTCTCCAAATACACCATCATTGTAGACATTGTACAGAAAGCAAATAGAATGTTTAGAATAGAACAGAAATATGAAAGGAGCATGACTCAGGTCAAAGTTCACCAATCCACCATCTTTTGGTACAGATTTCCTTTGCATTTCTGCAATTCTATAATCCAGATATAGACATGTGTCAAGCAGGGGTGAAGCTATACTCTAGTAAGAATGGTCTATTGACCAGCCTTCATTAGAAAATTATATTGCGTATATAGGTATAATATTAGGTTTAAAGATAAATAACATGTATTGAAATACCCTTGGGAAAATTCTTGGCTTCGTTACGGTGACAAGTAATGTATAATGTGTTGTGCCAAGTCAAATTTAAGGTCAACAAATGATGTCAAGTGACTGCGTTTGCCAAATCAGTTTCAAGGTTAAATTCTTTAAGTGACGTGACACGCCAAGTCAATTTAATTTTTTGCACGAAAGTCTTCAAGCTGTTAAATTTCAGACCAAATATAACTGACTTTTGCCGGATGAAATTACAAATTGGCGAAGCAAGCTTTGTTTCAGAAACATTGGCAAATGTAGCACGTATATATATGAAAATAAAATAGCAACCATTCCCTTTCCCTGCCCCACTCCACTACGCAACAATTTCCCGATATTCTAGCGGGATTTTTACCTAGCTATACTATAATAGAAACCTATTTATTATCTTTATTTAGGTTCCTTATTAATTATTTTATATACCTATATTTACTAGTTTTATACAAAACGATAAAAGGAGGAAATGAAACATATCTTAAATACTGGGTATCATTTACACATAATCCCCCTACATTTAAGATACTCTTCGTTTTTCAAAGGATTACAAAACATCATCTATCTTTGTACTTACCCACCGTAAGAAACCCACTGATATCCAAAATCATCACCTCTCTTTCATACAAATCAACCAATATCTCTCTCTCTCCCTTGTACAAATCAAACTATTATCTCTCTAAAATTGTAGCATCATATATTTCTCTGAATCAATTCCACCAACAACCATTAAAAAGCTTCAACTATTGACAAATCCATCAACATTATCTCTGAAATTGTAGGTGGAGGGATCTGCCATTGACATACCATTAAAAAGTTTCGAAGCTTTGAATTAGATATTCAGATTTTACGAATTTGTAATTTTTTTGGATTGGGTGTTCTTGAAAACGATTGAAAATATCCTTTACGGTTTATATCTCAATTTTAAGGGAGATTCATTAAGTTTAAAGTTGGTTTTAGATTGACTTTCTGATTGAAACTCGAGGAAGAAGAAGTTTCGGAATTGTATTATGATTGTATGATAAATGTATCATAATTGTATCTGAGTTGTATTTAATACGTCAATACCTAAGACAATTCTGATACAATACTAATACTATTAAAATATAACATTGTATCATAATTTAAGTTTAGAGTTGGTTCTAGGTGGATGTTTTTAATTGAAACTTGAAAAATATGAAGATCAAAGTTGTATCATAATCTAGAATTGTATCATAATTGTATCACAATTTGTACCTAAAACAATACATGATACAATGCTAATACAAATATAATACGATATTGTATTAGTTTAAGTTTAGAATCGATTTTAAGTTGTATCATAATTGTATCAGAATTGTGTAAGAATACTTTCGGGATTGTATCAAATTTGTATCTGAATAATGAGTAGTTGTGAGTTCATGACGAATTTCACAGTTTATATCACAAATATATGATAACTATATATTAATTTATTAGTATTGTATCAGGTATTATTTTGGATATTAATGTACCATCTACAAGTTAGATACAGTTGTGATACAAGTATGATACAATTATATTTTACACATTGATATATCTGATACAATTCAAATGCAATTATGATATAGTTATCATACCATCCCTGAATATTTTTTTATTTTCAGTGTTGTCTGGTCTCCCAATAAAAGAACGATGCAATTGATGATTTAATAATATACATAGAGAAGATGGAGATTCTGAGTGTAGATTGGGGATTTTGATGTTAAAAAAAGAGAGAGAGAAGAGGAAAGGGAAAAAAGGAAAGGATATAATTGAATCCCTTAATTGAAGGCAATAATAATGAGATGAGAGCCTTTTAAGGAGAAATTTACACAATTTATAAGAAAAATCTAGATACTTATTAAAAACTACAAAATATAAAGAATATTGATAAATAAATTTATAATATAGTGCAGCTAGGTAAAAATGCCTGGCAATCATTGCTCTGTCCTCTCGTGTCTGCCATCCTCCTCTAGTAGTTCTCTCGATTGTCTCCTTTTCCACCAAATGGGGTATTCTTTTAGGATTTGTCTTATATCATACTTAATAATAGTATTAATTTGTTGCAAAATGGTACTGGCTCAGATTATAAATCACTGAATATGGATAGTTATCTTTAATTGTACCTGACACCTTTTACTTAATGAGGGATGGAGTTACCATTCGTATGTTGCCCTCATTTTCTTTATCCCGTTTGTGAACACAAACCCATAATTTCGTGTGAGCTAATTCAACTAAATTGTGGCACAACCGTGGCTGCAAAGTCTCATTCGATAGTAGGACTGTAGGAGTAGAGCACTGAGCACAGCATGCCGCTCCTTTTGGATAACGACCGTACCAAATTTGGATTTAAGTTCTAAATTAGAAACAGGGGTGGCCCTTCCCTAAAGTAGGTAAAACAACTGCTTTAGGCTTCACATTTGTGGGGTCCCCCTTTTTGTTACACCTAATAGGTTATATATAAGTTTTAAAAAAAGTTATTTGAAGTAAAAATGTTTGATTTCTTTCTTTAACAGATATAGAGAAGAAAGATTTGCAATTGCTATGATTTCTGCCAAGGAAATTTGTTAATGTTTGTAGATTGAACAAAAATGGATAAGAATGAAAATAGGGTTCATGTTCAGAGAAGAAGCTTCGAGAGCATTTTTGTTACATTTTCTTAAGAGTTCTTACAAAAGAATATCTAAAAACTATTTACATTGGGCCGGGTCTATTAATAAATACAACTGGGCCAAGTCTTAATGAACTAATTAACATCAGACCCAAATTTAATAACTAATATCAGGTAACTCCAACACCCCTCCCCCCTCAAGTTAGAGGGTGGTAATACGCTCAACTTGCCAAGCAATAACCTGTGATGTGCACCTGTCAAACACTTAGTAAAGATGTCAGTAAGCTGAGAAGAGGTAGGAACATGATGTAAAGAAATAAGGCCATCTGCCAACTTAGTGTGGATGAAGTGACAATCAACTTCAATATGTTTCGTGCGCTTATGAAAAACAGGATTTTTAGCGATGTGAAGGGCAGCCAAGCTATCACAGAAAACAGGAATAGAGCTGGACGAAGGCAAACCCAAATCTGCTAACAAACGAACCAGCCAGACTAGTTCAGCCACCACTTTACTCATGGCCCGATATTCTGCTTCAGCAGAAGACAAGGAGACGACAGCTTGTTTCTTAGATTTTCAGCTAATCAAACTACCCCCTAAAAACACACAATAACCAGAAACTAATCTCCTTGAATCAAAACAAGAAGCCCAATCGTTGTCACAAAGGCTTGTACAGAAAAATTAGAAGAACCATTGAGGTGAACTCTAACATCAGGTGTGCCTTTCAAATACCTCAGAACATGTAACGCAGCAGTCATATGGGGAAGACGAGGTGTCTTAAGAAACTGACTCAAGTGTTGCACAGCAAAACATAAATCTAGCCTGGTATGAGTGAGAAAATTTAATTTTCCAACTAAACTTCTATAAGATTCAGGGTTGGGCAACAAGACCCCAACATCAGACTTGAGTTTAACACACAACTCAAGGGGGGAAGAAACAACAGAAACATCAGAACACTCATATTCAGCAACTAACTCCGAAACAAACTTCCTTTGATGAAGAAGTACCCCAGAATCAACATATAACAACTCAATTCCCAGAAAATAGTTAAGTAATCCTAAGTCTTTAATTTAAACTGATCATCTAAAAACATTTTGAGAGCATTGATCTCTTTAGGATCATCCCAGTAAGGATAATGTCGTCTACATAGACAACAAGAAATACAGTAGATGATTCGGACCTTTTAATGAAAAGAGAGTAATCATTTAAAGAATGTGTGTAACCTCTAGTACAAAGTGCTTGTGATTGAAAACATGCGAAAAACAAAATCTTTTAGGAAATCAAAACAGTGCTTGTTTTAGCCTTGCTACCCCGAGGCTCGTCGGGCCCTGGTTGTCCTGATGGTCCAGTTATTGAGGCGTGCTCCTCTGTTTATAGCCTGTATGGAAGGGCCTTCCTCCCCCTCCTCCTCGAGAACAGCATAACAATCCATGTCATTGTCCTCTAAGAACAAAATTTTCACAGCTGCCAGTGCTTCCTCTTCTTCTGACACTTAGTATATCATTGCCTAGAGGCTTATTTTAAGCCATAAAGGGACTTTTGCAACTTACAAACCAAAGGAGAAGCAAATTGAGAAGATGAAGCAACTGTGAGACCTTGGGGAAGCTTCATATATATCTCTTCATCTAAGTCCCCGTGAAGAATTGCATTATTCACATCCAATTGATACAAGGACCACCCTTTTTTAATTGCAAAAGCAACTAGACACCTAATAGTACACATTTTGACAACCGGAGAAAATGTTTCATTAAAATCAATACCTTCAATTTGTGTATCACCCCTTACTACCAATCTTGCCTTATATCTTTCTACACTCTCATCAGTCTTGTACTTAATTTTATACACCCATTTACATCCAATAGGCTTCTTACCCTTAGGTAACTCAACTATTGACCAAGTGTTATTAGCTTCTAAGGCCTCAAATTCTTTTCTCATGGCTTCCTACCAGACTAAACTTGTAGCTGCCTGAGAATATGAATGAGGCTCAACTTGAGTTGTGTGTGCAACAGAGAGAGACAAAGTAGTGAAGCTGGAAATGGAAGGAGGATGTTGCACAACAAAATCACTAAGATGTGAAGGTAATGTGTGATTTTTGGTGCTTTTTCTAGTAGCAGGGAGAAAGGAAGATGTTGAAGGAGTAGAAGTAGAGGGAAGATTAGAAGGAGTAGGAGTAAAAGGAAGGAC